ACTTTTGGAGTGTAGATTAATTAGCAAAAAGAACTGAGAAGTTTTTAATTTCCAGCTATGTAAGCATGAGTAAAAACTGAAAAGAATAGCTACGTGTATGTTTTTACTTTCTTTTTGGGTTTTTTAAAAATCAGTGTTTAGGTGGGTTTAGTATGTCTAATTCCTAATACTGTACGTAGTTCAAATTCCTTATTGGTCAAAAAGAGGCATTAGTTTTATTTTTCTTGTATTTGATGGTATGGTGGTCTGTTTAGAATTACATTGGTCCTCTCATTAATATAATTATCTAATGCCTAGTTCTACCCATGCACTTAGGTATATTGTGCATGGGTATACTCTATAGCTTAGGGAATTAGGTAGCTATAATATTACAAGTAATGGGAAAATATAGATGGTATGAGAGCTGGTGAGCAGAGCATAGCAACACTCAGCTGTATGTATGGAATATTGGCAGAATGGAGTCACTTCCGTTCTGCAGCGCTATGCTGTGGGAGGGCTGGCTGGATTAAGTGTAGCTTTGGACCCAAAGTATTAAGACATTGCATTTAAGTGTGGCACATGCATACTCTTGCTTGCCGTGGCATTGGGGTGATTCCCCGTTCAGGAATGAGACAGTCTGTCTGTCTGTGGCTGTATCAGGTTGGCACTAGAACCGCTTGGGATGTCTCACCACAATTCCCAGTGTTCCCTCTTCTGCAAAGAGGGTGCAGGGAGTTATGGCAAGGTGTTTCCCTCTTTAGTGTGATGCCAGGTAAGATCTGGCAAGGTTAGCTCAGGTTCTGCATGGAAGTCATTCAGCACTATGGGAGATGAGGTTTCACTAGGAACAGTATAACTGCTTTAGAGTTATGCTTGCTTTCTTGTATCTATTTCAGAGATGAGATAATCTGCCCATAAATTACTGAGCTGACTACTACATAGTTTCTTTCTTTTGGATAAAAATTCTCAGGACTGGGATTTTTAGCAGTTGTGTGGTTTCTGTAGACCCTTCATATGAAGAGGGTGAAAAATGGGAAAGAAAAAAGATTTTTAAAACAATAGAAGCAGGTAGCAGGATTGAGAAGGGGAAATGAGGACATGGGGACAGTGAAGAGGGTAATGGCCTGGGGGCTTTCAGAATCAGACCACTGCACTAAGACAATCCAGTATCATGTTTTTATTTATTAAATGGCAACTCTTTAACATTATGCTACCTTCTTATGACAGCCTTAACTATTCTTTAGATAGGTGTGTTTTAGCTTGTGCCACTTGTGCTACTGTGGTGAATATTCTGAAACTTTGTATGACAAGTGGACTAGTTCTGACAAACTGATCTTAAAATTCACTAGCTTTTCTGCTCTGCAATCCTAGCTGCAAATCCCATACAACATAATTTAATGAAAATGCATAGGCTTTTTTCTTGTTTAGCAAAGTGAAAACTGTGCAGTTTGATACAGCTCAGAGTATTTACAGAAGAAATAGTGGAAGAAAGTGATTTGAGAAGGGTTTTTCTTACAGTTAGGTACTAGTGCAAGTGGCCCAATAGCAGGCTTGAGACAGGATCTACAATCCTGAATTTGCCCCAGAGATTATGTTGATGTTTCCCTAAGTCTTTTAACTCTCTAAACTACTTTTCCATTCAGAGATAGTGTCTAGCACCCTTCTTTAAGAGTGCATCTTTCTGTCATTTTTTGCTCCCTCAGCCCTGACCCAACTTGGGCTGTCCTTGTCTGTGAAATTTATGTCAGTTTCTCAGGTTTAGTTTCTCAAATGTGTAGTTTTTTGAACTTTTGAAACCTTTTGAACTGGCATTAGAAATTGTCAGTGGCATTTGGCTATAGTCCTGATGTGAAGATGATGGATCAATTGCACTGTGAGAATTAACTCTGTCCACTATCAATATGTTCTTCTGTCCCTGCCCCTGCCTTGGTTTGTTTTTTTTTTCCTCCATACTTTCTTCTGACATTAGGGACAGAAAAACAATTATCTCTTAACACAGTACATGTGTTATGTATATATTATATATAACAACACTATAATTCTACTTTTGTGATGTTCAACTGCCCAGAAACATACAAACAGGGTTCACTTGGTTTGAAAAACTGCTGCTCGAAGTCAGAATTCATTAATACATTTTCAGGGATTTTAAAAATTAATATTTACAAATGTGCATCCAGGACACTTTGCTTTTTTCTTAGTTATAACTTTTCTATAACCTATACGTGCATTTGTTTCATTTCCACTCAATGCTTTTTCTCTTATTACAAACTTGCCATTTAAGAGGCCATTTCTAATTTGTTTGTACATATTTGACTCAATGTACCATGTGCATCCCACTGACTGTTGCACATTAACATTATTACTTTATCTAGAAGAACTTTTTCTTGCTATAACTTGACATAAGCAGCAGTGCGAATTTCATTTTTCTATGATTTGTTATATTGTGCCTTGAAAATTAAATTGTTGTCTGTGTTGTGCCCCAGATAGCAGCTTGAAACGAGTGCTAGAGGAGTGTTCTTGTAAGTCCCATTTGTTTTCAGATGAATGAGCCTAGTGTGCATAAGTTATGCTGTTTTAAAAGGCAGTATTTATCATCTTGTGAAGTGATTTTAATATAACAGGTAGCAATGATGTTCATTACTGAAAAAGTGAATATATTGTATTTGTTTATTTGATGGGGATATATTTCTGTCAGGTCTTAAGTCATTGTTTGTGGGGTTTTCTGGGGGCCATATTTCAGTTGTATGAAAGAGAGCTGGGAATTCTGTTGGTTTTGTTTGTTTTGTTGTTTTTAATCTAATTATATATGATTTCCATATAGATTTGCTTTTAGGGTTTATCTGGCAATTGAATTTTAGTTAAGAAAGCTTCTTTTTAAATCTGAGTCATTTGTTATTCTCCAGGAAACTAGAATAAGAATGGCTGTGGTTGATGCAGTATTAGAGTAAGTAAACATAATCTGTGTTTTGTTTTTATGAGATATGCTACTTCAGTACTGTCAGCTGAGCTTTCATTTCTCCTGAATTCATTGATACTTTTTCCATGTCTTTTGGCTGAACCATAACAAGTGATTTTGATATTCTGTATTACCAACAAATTGGGAATCTGTCTTTCTGTTATTTAATGATACTTATTCTAGGTCTAATTTATTTCCAGTTAATGGGATGTTTTTCCATATTTTCGCTTTTCTTAGCATGTAAGCTTTGCATATAATACAATGCATTATCTGTACTTAATAATGCTTTTTTGCTGTTCTCTAAGCAGTGTCATAGTGCACCTTGAGATGCTGATTGTCTTTTCTGTTTTGTAACATTTTTAAAAATTATTTTGTTTTTGATCTTTCTCTCTTGTAACCACTGGCGTTGTGGCAAATGAGGTACAAGTGGATTCTACTTGCTGCCTTGAGGCATGGAAGCAGAGTAACTGTGCTTGACACTTTGCTCTAGATTCACCTCCATCTCCTGGTTCTCCATCCTCCCCCTCTGTCTAGTCAGGTCCTTCAGGCATTATGTGAAATTATTTGTGTGCTTTGCCTTTTTTCCTCAAAGGATACTTCACGTGATTTGGGTGGGCAATTCTGCCATTTGTTTGTTGGTTCAGTTTCATCTAAACCAAAAAACCCAACAATTTTTCTTACAAAAGATGATTTAATGTCTTGTATAAAAATGGATGTCAGGCTCTCATAGACTATTATCTTTTGTTCAAGGTAAATGTGTTCAGTGTAGATGGAGGTGTAGTACTGAGAATAAACAGGTTCTGTATTGATTCCCCCGCCCAAATGTCATAAAGTCTGATAGAACTGAAATCCAACCTGTACAAAAGTGCTGAAAATAGAGCTCTGCCTACAGCAGCAAAGAGTTTTCAATAACTTGGATAAAGCTGTACTCAAGACTGTCAGGGGAGCTCTGGTGCAGGGCATGGGAGTAGCACTGGGCATTCGACTTCAAGCGTGAAGAAGACACCTCTGTTCATGTTTACCTACCTTGATAATTAGAAGGGCTGGAGTTGTTTCTGCTCAAATTAATACATTCTCAAACAAGAATAATTAAACTTGGGCAACTGGACTTTTCAGCCTTTCAGTCCACAATAGCTATTGTGAATGCTGTTTTGAGCTATTCATTGAAATACTGGAGGTTGTTGCAGTACAACTCTTGAGAGGAAGCCAGTGTTCAATGTAGTGGTTTTGTTTCAGGATGTTGTCAAAATAGTCATTGCCAGCATAGTTGTAGTATATGGTCCTTCATTTTGAAAAACGCTGAGCAGATTGGTACATTATGATGTAAAAATACAACTTCATTGCCAACAGTCCTGTAACATGAAAACGAAGCACTTGGAACTAGGAGCGTGATCAGTAAAAATTGAATCAGTCTCCTGTTTGCAGGACAGTTTGGAGTTTTGTAGAATATTTGAGAAAAGAGCAAGATCTCTTATTCTGTCTGTTTCAAAACTCTTTATGTCTGAATTTCTAGAACTTTTTGACACTTGAGTGGCTGGGTAGGAGGACTGTACTTGGGGTACCTCTCTGCACTTGAAATCAACTCCAGAAGCCTATTCTAGGAGTTGATATCTTACTGAAGAGGACCACTCCTGCGAGGAGGGAAAGGTTTGTCAGCCACGAACATAGCTGTCCAGAAGTTAATTTACAAGACTGCTTGCAAGGATAGGGTTCTAGTGTGTGTCTTTGCAGTGGCAATCTTGATTTGTTCCGCTTCACCCCTTTAAATCCTTTAGCTACCTTTATGTATAGAGGTGTTAGAAGTGTTTAAAGCAAATGTGTCCCACTGATTTGTAATCAAAATTATGGATTTCCAGTGTCTATCACTTAAGGGTTTTTTTGGGGTTGTTTTTTTTTTGATTGGGATGGTATTGCAAGTGTCTGACTGAAAGGAATTAAATAAACTTGGTATGAAAGGTATTAAGGGAATGTCTCTAGCCTACCTAACTTCACTCTAACTTCTTCTGTAAGCTGTGGCATCAAATTTGGTTAATATTAAAATGACATTGTCTCCAGTAGGATAATCATGGGTCAAACCGGAAAAAAATCTGAGAAGGGACCAATTTGTTGGCGAAAACGCGTGAAATCAGAATATATGAGACTGAGGCAGCTCAAGAGGTTCCGACGTGCGGATGAAGTAAAGGTATGTAATCTTTTGGTTCTATTGCTTAAAAAATTATATAAAAATTCATTTTCTTCAAAGTATGAGTTGTCCTGCAGTTAACACCTGCAATAACAATTATGAAATACTTTAACATACTGAAAACTTGTCTTAACTCTGATCTTATAGGCAGGTATGGTACGTTTATATGTGATTGAATCAGGCATGCTAAATATCAGAAGAGACTGTGGAGAGCCAGTATGGCAACTTCTTTAGCCAGATACTAATTCCATTTCAGATTTAACTCCATGCTCAACCTCTGAGTCTCTAAACATAAGAACATGGTTTGAGGCAAAGAAGGTGATAATGATATTGAGCCTCACTGACATTTAAAGACAATTTGGATGGTTGAGTTTGAGCACCTTTTTTTTATCCTGTTTGGTTTTGTTTATTTTTTTAGTAAATGTTATAATGCCTGAACATGCTAGCAGGTCAATTTTGAGTCTTTGGTTTATTTGTAATGTTTACAACTGTGATTAATTTTTAGAGTATGTTTAATTCTAATCGTCAGAAGATACTGGAAAGAACTGAAATACTAAATCAAGAATGGAAACAACGTAGGATACAGCCTGTTCACATCATGACTTCTGTGAGCTCATTGCGCGGGACCAGGGAGGTTGGTTAACATGTGTTGTGGTAATTCCACTTAGAAGGTTGTTATCACATTTTTATTTTATTACTGGAAAGTTGGCTGATTTGGGGTTTTGGGGTTTTGTTTTGTTTTTTTTTTCCTTTTTTTCTCCAGTATGACATGACTTGGCAGCTAAATACTTTTCGTAAGAGTCTCTTAAATATTTTATTTATGATTTCCTTCAATCATCTGGAAAGCAAGAAATATGTAGCAGGCTACCTAGCTTTGAACAACACACAAAAGTGAAACTTCTTTATTTCTGATAATACCTGGATCATACCTCAGAATCCTTTAATCAAACCATTTTGTCTCACTGATATTGGGAGTTTAATCTTGCTCCTATTGGAGTTGACTCCCAGTGGTACAAATGAGTAGTTACTTTGATTCTTACTGAGTTAAAGCACATGAAAACTGGGAACACACCCACTTGAAAAAGTCTTCTTTATGGTTCTCAAAGGAGTTAGTTGAGTTGATGCACCATTGTGTTGCTCAAGCAGAATGGATGCTAAATTTGTGAAAAACACTTCCATGATGGTGATGCAATTTAAGCATCTAAACTGGCTTTCATGTTGGTAGCTTGAACAGTGGTTTATGCCTACTCCAACTTTCTGTGTTCAGCCCAGGTTAATTTATCTTCTTTCTCACTTGCTCTTCAGGCACTTCTCCAAACCAAGCCAGTTTGAAGATGTTTCATGTTTAATAATCTGAAAAGCTAACTCTTTTCAGTAGGATGAGAATGAAAAGACTTTAATGTGAATAGGTTAAAAAAATAAAACACTTTCTTATCAAGGAAATTTGTCAGATTTTAGTTTTCTGAAAACTTTAGTGGGGAACTGGGGATATGTGTGTGTCAGAGGTACATTTATGCACATGCATTTTCAAATGCAAACAGGCAAGGACCTTTGCTTGAGTATTTTCTTTTAAACATGGCTGAATATGCAACTACTCACATACAGCTCTATACCTATTATACGGCACTGTAAGATCAGAATTTCTGATAATAATTGACACAGGTACACATCCAATTTTCTTTCTTTTTTTGTTAGTAAATGATCATTCCTCACCATTCCTTTTACTTTTTTGTTATCTTTTAAATTTTTTTTATGGTGTTGATTTGTTGATTTCCTGCCTGAATTGATAGAGCACACTATTACTGCATTCAAATCCAATCTCTGTCTCATGAATCAGAACTCTAATGCTTGATTTAAGATTGCTGTAATTTATAGTTAGAGAAGGGAGACAAAGAAATGGTGGGGGTTTTAAAAGATTACTTTAAAATCTTTTTTTTCTTAATGTGCTGAATTTCTTCAGAGTTGCACAGGACACTGCCTAGAAGTTTAGTGACCTGATGGAAAGGTTTTGTGAGAGCCTTCATGTGTTTGGTGAAGACTGCAGGGCACCGCTGGTGACAAATTTTCTCCATTGGCTAGTCCGGTCAGCATCAACCAGAGACCGCAACATGTCCTGTGCTAGCCTTATAAAGATTGAGATGAGTTCCATATCAAAACAACGGGGCAACATAACTGAAACTTAGTACCAAACATTTTGAGTCATTTTGGTATAGCTCATTGGTCAGCCTGAGACTTCTAGTTCCAAAGATGAAGTAATTATTTTTTTTACTTTTGTATTTTTCTTTAAAAATACATGAAAAATATGTTAGATGGCTGTTAGCTAGAAAATTAAACATTAACCTGAAATGGGAATAAAGCATGGCATAGGACAGTGTCTTGAGTATTGATGTGCACAGCAGAAATCTAATTTAATTTACTGCAGATTATAAAGCAAATAAAAAAATCTGGCTTGTGTCATTCTACCAGGGTACTGTCTCTGTATACTGTTTGTTACATTACTTTGTGTATTTCTTTAGAAATGTGAAGCTCTGTTCATCTTTCCCTTCTGGAAAGGAGAAAGATCTTTTGTCTCCACTTCCTTTTTTCCTTTCAGGTAGCTATGATAGCCGTTCTCAACTTTATTTTGCCTACCTCCAAATCCTTTTTTCTTTCCCTAGCTTTGTATGTTTCTGTCTCCTTTTGTTTGTAACTTTTTTCAGAGTTCTTCATACTGCTGTCGAGTTTTCGAGAAGAGTTGATCTGTGTCTGTTAACTGCTGAATAGATACAAGAATAACCTAGAAGTTTTCTGTGTTTCTATGGCATGTTTATCTTTTGGAGGCTGCATAAACCTCTGAATCTCAAAAAAAAAAAAAAAAGTCCTGTAGGTGAAAAACTCATTGACATGTCCAGAGTTGCATATTAAGAGTTAATTTTAATTTTACTGCTGTAAGCAGTGACCATAATCAAAGGCTTGACGATAAGATAAACAGACAATAATGGGGAAACAGGGCAGGAATTAACAAGACGTGGAGAATTTATTTCCATAAAATGTCTCCTGGAATTAAAGTAAAATTTTATTTAACATAAATAATACATGATTTCTGCAGTGTATTGGTCTGAAGCCAGGGGAATTCAGTTGTCTCTCTGATGGCTTGAGTAAATACTCGATAACACCAGTGTAGCAGCAACAGGTACTAAATCTGTTTTGAGGTAACAAACATAATTTGTATTGTAGGTTGAATAGTCTGAGTGAAATACTCTCACAGCCACTTAATAAGAAGTGGAAAAAACCATTGTGATCTATTAGCAAAGGTATTGACATAGAAATAATTCTTGCATCTCTTTTCCTGCTAAACCTGTTCTTACTATTATGCTGTAAAAACCTGATGCAATTTTCAAAGGCTCATATAGCTAATTTTGACAAACCAAACACTTTGAATTTTGTACATTGTAGAGTGTTCTGTGATTTAATTTTTTTTTCTTTTTGCTTCCAATGTTGCTATGTAAGTGTAACTTCAACCTCCTATTTCAGTGCTCTGTTACCAGTGACATAGATTTTCCAAAACAAGTCATCCCACTGAAGACTCTCAATGCTGTTGCTTCTGTACCTATAATGTATTCTTGGTCTCCCCTTCAACAGAATTTTATGGTAAGTTTAAAAAAAGTGCTGGGAGGAGAAATATATGGAGAAAAGGGAGGGGCTAATTTTAGAGATAAACCAGGAAAAATCTGTTGCCAGTTACCCTCCTTATCTTTTTGGTTTTGGTATTAAGGCAGTAACAATCAGAAAGAGGCTCCCCCAAATAAAATAAAATAAAAGAAAAAGTTACTTTGATTGCAAACTAAACCTCTGTCCTCAATGAATGTAAGTATCTCTAAAACCTTGCTGTAAAGAGACCGTAAGTTTATTTAATTCAGGCGACCAATTGTTTTGTATGGCATTTAACAAATGTGGATTTATTTGAAAGCATATAATTAGTGTAATGAGAAATACTTTCTGAGGGATATGAGTGTCTTTATGTAAGACAATCAACCAATGTGTATCTGTAGCAGAATAATTCTTATGGAATAAAGAGAACTTACTCCTAAAAGAGTCTCCTCACATAATGGTCATTCTTGCATAGCAACTGAGTATAGCCTTTTCTTCTGATTGGCTTCACTGTATGCAAAAGCCATATTATTAGATTTATTTGAAAGGCTTAGCTTATCACGCATCTTTGTCACATCATTTTGTATATGATCACCTTTGACTTGTTATTATAATAATAATCGTAGCAAAATGATTTAAATAACCAGTTTTATCAGTACATATACAGAGTTCTTCCACACTCTTCTTGCTTTCAATTCATCAGTGTTTGAATAT